AAATTGGAATATAATTTTCTTCACTAAATAGGCGAATTTCTTGCTCAAAACTGCTCAAATTTACAGTAAATCGAGTGAAAACATCACTAACTAGTCAGCCATCTTGGTTTTGGCCGAAAAAAGACTGGAAATTGTGTAGGGGAGGGGAGCGTGGTTTGTCACCACAGGAAGCCCACGAAAAAATGTTCTTAGGTAGGTTAGCGTGAGCGGTAGACCAGATTGAATAAAGTGATGACACGGAATATTTCGTGATGTTTGTGAAAAATGAAAAGTGATAGTAGATGGTTTGTTAGCTTTTCCTCTTGTGTAAATATAAAGTTCTTGAGTACTTCTTTAGTAGTTGATTGAAAAACATATTATTGAATATTTGAGCTGTTACTGGACGACTTCCAAAGATATTTTATGTCGCTGCTTTTAGATGATTCTAAGGCTTTTCTTGTAACGGTTTGGCATTGAATGAACTTGATGGAAGGTGGGATGATATTTAGACCAAATTTATTTCGTGGTAGATAAGTGTTACTTACGGTTCCAGATATGGGGATTTCTAGCCATCTGCGAAGATATTGATTTACTAAGGGATCAAGATTTTCAGTTATCCATGTTTTTCCGAGGTCAGCAACAGTTAAATGCCAGGATATTTTAGATAATGCATAACGACCCCAAAGCAGGAGTTTATTTTTAGGATGAAGTGGTTTCATATCAATGTCAGACATCATGGAGCGTACAGTGGAGGTCACTTAAGACCGATGTCAAAATCAAAGAATCTTCCTAAATATTAAAATGCCTGCAGATTAAATAATAGAAAATCTCGATTTATCCAACAAAGCATATACTGTTGTAATTATAATTTCAAAAGGTATAGATCTAAAAGTTTAAGAAAGAAAAGCTAGAAATATCCAAGTTACAAGGGTTCAGTTGAAAACCGTTTTGTTTAGGTGATGTCACGTAAGCCGTCTACGCTTCTTCAATCCGAACTGAAGGTCTGCAGTAAAATATAATGAAGCACACGACGGCTATTTCAGGTCTTGGTCAACTCGATCCAATTCATACACATGAAGATATTTTCATTGGTAAATATTCAAACGGCGTCCCGTCTACAGATCGGCTATCATTATGAATCTGACGCCAAATGAATCGTGTCCTGAGCTCACGGTCTAGATGAGCAACATGCAAATGATGCAATTTTATATTTTTATATATTTTGTTTAATATTAATATATTTTGCAATACATTTATTTTTATTGTTTTTTTTTTTTTGTTTTGTTTTTTTTCCCCTTTGTTGTTGTTGTTGTTGAATAACAACAAAATGAATTTTAAACAAAAGAAGGCGTGATAAATTCGGGATAAAATCGCATACGCACTGAAACGCCGGTTCTTAAAGTATGAACTGGCTCCGACACTTGATGAGTAATCTTATCCCTCGAACAATGGTAATGCTCTATTTACCACAAACACAAGAAAAAACCTGTATAAGCCGGTTTGAAGAGCTAGGTACATAAATATCTGTAAGCCCGAAAGCGTGTTTCTTTGTTATCTTGCACGTTGCTGCACTCGTCCTGCAGAAGGTTAAAGATCCCAACTTAAACAAAATGTCCAAGGTAAATTATATACCGTATTGGTAAATTACTCAAGTTAAGTTGCGCTGTACACTTTCAAAGTCAAAAAAAAGTGCATATTGTTTTTGATGAGATATCCCCGCAATTAAAAGATAGTCTTTGCATACGTTTCCCTTAGTTTACTGTTACATATTTTTATTATTTGTATCAGCCACGAGGACTACTCGAACGTCTGGATGCTGGAGAGGTTGTGGTTGGAGATGGCGGGTTTCTGTTTTGCATGGAAAAACGTGGTTATGTTAAAGCTGGACCGTGGACTCCTGAAACGACAGTGGAGCATCCCGAAGCAGGTAGGTAAACAAAAATAGCATTCTTAATTTGTCACTCCTGCAGAGTAGCAATAAATAGTTTATGGTTTTGTAGGCTCAAGCCCCGCTCAAGCTAACGCATAAACATAGAACAGGAGCTTCAGTGAAAGTACTGGAACTTCTTGTAATACAAGAACGCAAACGTGTTTAACCTGTTTCGCCACTCAAACAATTAAGAGGCTGCCGTGTAAGGATCGAGCAAAGCTAGAAATAGAGAGTTTTAGATTGACTTTTTTTTCTCCCCGCAAACGGCAAACGTGAGGACGTTTTCATAGTTTTCATGTATTTTACTTTACCTTTTACAAAGCTTCTCACCAAAAATACTCTTTTGTTTTTCTACTACTTGGACTTTTTTGCGATTCTTTTTCAGYWATTTAAAAKAATTTTTTACTGGTCAACTGACGTTTCACGTTTGCCGCGAACGTAAATCTAAAACTCTCTAATGACCCAAAAATCGCCCCACCTCAAACTTTGCCTGAAGAAAGCAACAATTTATTTTGGAAAAAAAATCATTTGTAATATTTTTAGAAGCGAAAAACGAATTTGGTTGTCAAAAGCGATAGAAAATATCCATGAAAGCGGCATTCAAAAAAAAAATCATCGAACGATTTTTTATCTAAATGAAGCTATTCACTGAAAGATGTATTTTTTACAAATATTCTCCTTTAATTTCATATACATAGAAGGGTTTTAAGGCAGTCAAATAAAAATAAGTACGCTTACGCTTTGCTGGCGTTACAAGACTTTGTACACAGAGATCAGCAAAGCGTGAGCCGTGTAGCCAGCCGTAACAGCACGCGACAAGAAATAACACGGAGGTCAAGCGTGAATAATCAACAAGCAGCCGTGAGCGAAAACAGTTGTGAGCGTACTTATTTTAAATTAAGTCTAGGTTTCGAGAAAATAAGCGGTAAACGATTTCTATGATGTCGCCATTACTTCATAACGAAAAGGCCGCTTCAAACTAATTTATCATTTTTGTATGAAAATCGCTCGCAGATCGAGTTATTCAAGACGAAGTTGTAGCCGGTTCAATGCGGCTAGGTGTGCCAGACCAAAACTACCCACAGCCTCCTTAATCTATTTATTATAGCCATTCGGTCATGTTCTTTGCACACTCAGTGATAGCGGTCTAGCAGACTAAATAGCGGTCTGGAGTCCTAGCCTTTTGTTTTATAATGATATGCATAAGTATCAGCACAAATGGGCTTTGCACATTACGACATAGTTTTGATATCTTTAAAAAAACATCCGTGAATAGGAAATTTTAACAAAGTTGGGCTAAAACGTACGGGGAGGTGAGGTGCATTAGTGATTTCCCAGTCTATTGTTCTTTGCAATTGCAATATCAAATGTTGATTATGGTTATTGTTTGCCTAAGTTCGTCAGCTGCATCGAGAATTCTTACGAGCGGGTGCCGATGTCATGCAGACATTTACCTTCTACGCCAGCGAAGACAAGTTAAAGAACAGAGGAAATGATGCTATCAAAATTGGGGTCAGTAACATGACTCTGAAAAATAACCTTTCATCTGCAAAACGACTCTATAAAAGCCGTCCATATGAAGCTAGGGTGACCCAAGGCGAAGGCCAAAGTCGCATTTACGCGAGTTTTCATTTTCAAGTTTTCCAAGTCAGGGCGGGTGAAAAAGAAAAAAAAGGTTTCCTTGAAAAGTTTTCTTTAAAAAAATTCTTAACAACTTTTACTTGTTCCCGCAATGTGTTATGTACAGCTACTTTTTATCACCTACACGAGCAAATAAAACTGGTCAAGGACAACTTGCTTGCGTAAATGCGGCTTCATTCTTTTGTTTTTGGTGTCCCCTGGGGAAACAAAGCAATATTTATATTTTCGTGAATTTTCCGGGAAGCTAGAGTGACCCCATGCGAGGGCAAACTTTCAGTGTTTTCCTCCCAGGGGAAAAATGTCCCAAACACTATTTGGGTCACCCGATCTTTGTGTAAACGAGCTCATGGACGTTTTCAGTTGTCAAACTAGTTATCATTTTTGTTGAGGTTTGAATTGATTGAAAAAGCCTTTGAAAGTTACCCTACAAGTACGAAGATAATGTTAGGTCAGCATGCACGTATTAGGTGTCGTATAAATCATCGAGTAATACAACAGGGTTTGAAATTTAATCGTAGGTAATTGAGGGTTGTACGTAGTACCTTAAGGTATTAGACTTTATTATAATGTTGAGATGAAGAAAAAAATTAGAAATTTAAATTCATCCCAAGATTAAAGACAAGAAATAAAGGCTTTGCGGCATCGCGTGACGGTAGCCACGACAGGAGGCACATAGTCTTTTTTTCCAAACTGGATTCTCTCTCGTGTAAAGCAACACAGATTAGATCAGATTCAATTGTTCCTCCTGTCATGGCTGGGATGCTGCAAAGGCTCTATACCAAGTTTTGCACTTTTAAGTAAGCTTTAAGTTGAGCCTTGAATCTTGAAGTTAAAAAATGGCAAACTCCGTCTGATTTTTTTTCAGTGCGAAGCTGTAAATCAAGCAGCATGTGACCTAGCTAGAGAGGTAGCAAACGAAGGAGGAGCTCTTGTAGCTGGCAATATTTGTCAGATACCATCATATCTTAGTGGCAAGGGAAAAGAGGCATGTCAGGCTGAGTACAAGAAGCAATTAGACGTGTTTGTCAAGAATGACGTGGATTTTCTCATTGGAGAGGTGAGATTATTCATGATGTGGTAGAAACCGATAGACATGATCTCAACAGGAAAAGGATTTGAAAAAAAGAAGAAGAGAAAAAAAAGATTGAGGTGAAAAA